AACGGGGTGAAATTGATTCTTTATTTCCTTATAATTAATCTTTTTATTGCACCTATAATAAGCATGAATCAACGTTTTTTTGTAATTATATCAAATCCATCAATGTGTGTATTTGATCAAATCCGCCAATTAACCTCACCTCCACGTTCAAGCTTTATTTACACCCAAAGCAGATTATGAAATCATTAGAATCTGGAGATTTTTTAGATTTTTTAAAATAGTAATTCCCAGCCTCCTTTAAAGGGAATAAAAACGCCTGAATAATTCATTGGTTTTTGAACAAATGTGTGTTTAAAATAAAGGATGTGAGTTTATTCACGGGCAATTATTATTATTATTTTATTGTTTTTATTACCTCAGTCGAATCTCAGCACCTAAAAGGTGAATTTGGCTGTGATCAGTTTACTGGGTGGGGGGGGGTTGCCTGCAGCAACCCTCCTTCCTCTCCCCCCCATTCACAGAAAGAAAAGATGGGATTTGCTCGGTGCTCCTCTCAATAAAGCGGGCCTCCATCACTTTGGTGCCACCGCCACGCGAGACCACGTTCTGCCGCCATCATTGATCAGGACAGATTTAATCTGTTATGCTTTTATTCCTAATTTGGTATCTCGTATTATAGTTACGATACAACAAATAACTGCTCCGTTTTAAAATAGCAAGAAAATAAGATGTTAGTTTTTATTATTGGAGGCACCTGTTTTGCCAAATAAAAGAAAAAAAAAACGCCGAGGCGTGCGCGTGCGCTAGTTGTGTCCAGTTTTTTTTTTTTTTTTTTTTTTTTTTTGGTTCAAAGTGTCGCTCAGAGTGATGAGAAGTGCTGCTTTCTGGATTCTGGCTCTGCTGAGAGGCGCGCGCAGCAACGAGGCCGCCTGCGTGCAGCGTGGCCCCGCGCGCGCGCGCGCGCGCTCAGACCTGCCCCGCTAGCCTACAAACATGCGGCGCTCCTGTTTCTCCTCGCGCAGTAATAACCTATATGAGAACTGATGCGAGTCAGGGACCGGGCGCGCGCGCCACCCTCCTCTTCTAGCATCACTTCGGTGTTTATGCGCGCGCGTTCCTCTTCTGCTTCTGCTTCGTCTTGTTTTCTCTCCCCCACCTTCCCGTCCGCAGCTCTCACTCTCGCCCTCTCCGCCTTTTCCTCTCCCCCAGCCTGCCTGTCTCTAAATGCCACCGGCRCCTCCATCTCCGTGTCACTCCTCCTTCACATCGGCACCGGCGTCCACCAACAGGTCAGTAAATATTTACACTCGGAGCTCGTTTCGGAACCAGTGGCGGTGTGTGTGTGTGTGTGTGTGTGTGTGTGTG